ATATGAAACAAATAAAATAAAATACATACAAAGCAGAACACAGCTAAATGTATCAAAAGCATGTCTGAGTAATATTAGAATTTTCTGAGACAATGAGTTTTGGTTTTTCATTTTTTCCCCTGTTTTAGTTTTTATTTAATAGAATTTTTGGACAAAAAAATCACAATATATCGCCTTGCTTATAGTATCGCAATATATCGGGATATATCGTATCGTGACCCCTCTGTCATGATATGTATCGTATCGCCAAATTCTTCCCAATACACAGCCCTAGTCTTAAAGGAAAGTTTAACATGAATCAGTTTAGAGCAAATACATCAATTCAAGGAATTTAATTTATTTTTTTCAGTCTCGTATCTAATAGGGGTGCAACAATGCATGTACCCGTATCGAACAGTGCTGTATCGAACAATACAGATTTTTAAAATTTATTTTATCAACATGTCTTCTGAAGATGCTCTGTGTTGAAGGATGAGTGGATCTGTGTTCGACTGCTCCACCTAGGCTGCATTTTTGAGCGCAGATCCCCTGAGAAACTTTCTGTTTCAGCAACATTTAATTTAAAAACTGTACTTTTGAGGTTAAACAGATGTTCATAATTAATATAAATAAATTACAGGTTAAAAGGGGCATGGAAATTTATCTTTTTTGTAACGAAAAAATATCGAACCGTGAGACTAAAGTATCGAACCGAACCGTGAACTTCCTGTATCGTTGCACCCCTACTAAATGTGCCTTTGTTTATGTGGAAAAATAAAAATGAGCATTCACAGAATAATTAATCATCTGAACTACAAAATCCAGACATTTGAATAGAACACTGCTTTCTGTTTGCACATGCTAATCCACCTTGTAAAGTGTTAATTTAAAACTGCGTTATTCAGCCCGCTGAAGGTGAAGTCATCCTTGATGTTCAGCCATTACATCATGTTTTAACGGACTCGACACAGCTAGCAACACTAAAACTGTGGCGTTTTTTTTTTTAAAGTAACGTCACAAACAAGTCGCATTAAGACCGTGAACATCCTACTCTCCTGCTGTGCAGACCGCAGCGCATGTCTCTGGCGCAGTCCGCAGCTTTGCTAACCCCCTCCATCCTCCGGCCTCACAGGGATGCTGCACATCGTTCAAACAAAACAGCCGCCATTTTCTTACCCAAAATATCAGGTTGAGGAAAACCAGGACGGTTTTAGACGAAGTGATCCCGCACTGTCCCATCGTGTCGCTGGCGCCAACAGGAAAACTGCTGTTGTTTTAAAATGTTTTCCTCGGTGCACCTGCAGCTCTGCTGCTGCTAAAATAATAAAATGGCTTCGGTCCTGCCTGCTGCCTGGCGGTGCGGATCCTTCCAGGCTCGACCAATCAGATCCTCAGAAACTTAAAAAAAAGGGAAGGTCACGTGTCCTGGTGACGCCATTCTTCAAAACAAAGTGAGGATGCTGATAACAAACACTGGAAGATTTATTAGTTATGCTCAATTTAAAATAAAATGTCTTGGATAAACAACAACATAAGAAACATTTTACTCAAACATGCCAATATTAATGACTTATAATTATTAATAATTCCACAAGCAGGCGGTTTTAGCTCTGAGTTTGGTCTACTAACAAATTTTCTAGTTGTACAATATCAATTTTTTGGTTTTAGCACAAAATTTTGCTGATTCAGGGCGTGTTTTGATAATATTTTTACTAGCACCTAATTAAAACAAGCAATATTTTTTTCTGAGTTCTGGAAAAGTTTGATTTCCCTAAAAGAATGTGAACTGGAATATGTGCTGGTAAATACNGACAGACAGACAGACAGACATAAATAAAAGTTTTAAAGTACGTGACAAACCCCCAACGCGAGCTTTCTACAGCTGCATGTTTTACAGTGTTAGTACGCAGCAAAGAGGTTACTCTTTCACCACATTTCTTCTTGCAGTTCATGGATGATTAAAATGTTGCTCCAATTCAGCAAGCATAGGTAGATACAGTAGCACTAAAATATATTTTATCTAAATACTGACTGACTTTCATGACAATCAGAGGGCGAGGACATGGTTTGTCAGAGCTCAAACCTGATGAGGCCATGGCAGATGCAAAACAGAAAACAAATCTCTTTGCCTCAATTAATCCATTTTTACTATTAGTGCCTATTTTGACTGGATGATGGCTTCCTATTATACAGTTTTAACCAACTACCCATTCTGAAGTTTTCTGCATGCACAGCATTGTGGGTAGGGAACAGAGGCTTATCCATTAGCTTATAAACAACAACGCATCACTATTAAATTTGAATAATGTGACTTTTTTTAATCTGATGCTTTTTGCTAATTGTGGCAAAGAAAACACTGGATGAGATCAAATGTTAGATTATCAACAACAGACGGTAGGATTTTTTTTTTTTTTT